ACACACACACACACACACACACACACACACACACACACACACACACAGAGCTACTGCCAGGCTTTAGGTGGGTTTGGAAGGTTTGCATTCAGGTACTCACACTTGCACAGCACTTTACCCGGAGTTATCTGCCCAGCCTTTACTTTTAATCAAAAGGAGTACAGTTGCTCCTCATGTGTTCCAAAGTAAACCAACTATTTCAACTGCTAAGAATGGTGATCTGGTGATCCCCTGAAAGTCTGTCATAGGTTGCACAAACCAATCCATTTTTCACTCATAGAAGTTGTTGGGAATAAATACACACAAATCACTCCACGTTAGAATAAATAGAGCACAGAACTTAAAAGACAAGGTTAGAATACTGTGGGAGACCAGCTCCCACTTTCCCCCCCAGGGTACTCTTAAGTAGGGAGAAGTGAGAAATATTTAGATAAAAATATGGAGGGGAGAGACAGATAGAAACACAGGATAGCCTCAGGAGGGCCTGGGTCAAAGCCCAGCAGCCCCTTCTGTATCTTCTAAAGGGCTATTTATAGAAATGCCAAGGGGTGGAGCAAAAGACCGCCCCCTAGCACAACCAAGTGCAGACCCTTCCAAAGACCTGGTAACCATGCATGTGGTCAATCCATCCCCTTATGCAGCCCTGTTGTGTAAAGCAAGCTCAGATCTCACTAGGAAACCTTTGTGGGCTCCCACAGAATATCTGTCCTAACCCTTAACCCTTATCCCTATCATTTACTCTCGTGTATTTTAAAGACCTTAGGAAACTACAAGCATACTGTAAAATGTCTTACATGTTATTAAAATTTCTAACTCTACATAAAAGCCTTAAATTAAACATGAGAGGAGGGACAAAAGTGATTCAGAGACAATAAAAGTAACAACCAACAGTATAAGATAAGGAAAGAGTAAAACAAGAGTACCAACAGGAGTTCAAGGCAATCCATTTTTAGTATGGGCTTAAATAGCTCCTCCTCTTTACTTCCACAGGCCCTGAAGCTGTACCTCCACACAAGCTGGTAAGGTATAGGACAAGAAGTCAGAATATGAAAGTAAATACTATCCTTTATATTATGAAAATACAGCAATATTAAATATATACAATTATGAAAATGTGTTTTTACTACACGAGCTCATCTTGAGTAACTGTGATGAATGAGCCACATTAACTCAGTATTCACCAATGGAAAAAGAAAAATGGTTTTCAGAAGCCTTAAAACACAAGAGATAAAAAACAAAAAACCCACCTAGGTGAGATCAGCATTCTAGTAGTACAATGAAAAACAAAAGGGAGAAGGTGGATCCATGAAAGAGGGGCTAGAAGACCATCAGAATGGTTTTCTAAAAGCAAAAGCCCCCTGGAACAGTCAACTCTAAGGTGTGAGCCGGCAGGGTGTGAAACAAGCAAGAAATATACTGAGCTTCCTTGGATGTTCAAATAAGTATTATTCAGAAATTTTAAGTGAAATAAAACAGAACTACAAATATGTCTGTAAAAAAGTATGTGTGTATTAAGTGAGTTAATAAAGTTTGCTCCAGAGTTGATTAAGAAAACACATCTAAAATATGAGGGTTACAAAAGAAAAATCTAAAATTTCAAAAATAAAATTAAAGAACTAAAAAAAGTCATTAAAGATTCAAATTAACAGGTATAAGTTAATTAAGTAAACAGGTATTAAGTTACAATGTTTAAAAAAAACAATAACACCTTGCTGGTTGAAAGTGAAGACAGAATCAAAATCCCTTTCCCAGGCTCCAGGTCAGCCCTGTGCTGTTATGACTTGTCTAGCTATAAGGTACTGGTCAAAAGCTAAGAGTCACCCCATTTTCTAAGAGCAGAATAGAAAAGGCAAGTAAACCTTACCTTTGCATACATTAACATTTCATCATGAGACGTGTTATTGGCTAACTATGCAAAAAGGTATATCAACTAAATTCCAAAATGGTGATCACTGAAAAGACTTCCATAAAAATCATTTTCAAATTCCTTCAGTAATCTTATGAATAAACTAGTATACCTTAGCAAGTGATTTCACAATAGGATTCTCCATAATCCCCTTGAGAAAAATTAGGTCTATTTCTTCTGCTCCTGTAGATGTGGGCAGCTCCGTTAGGTTTTCCAAAACTTGCTGCATTTCTGATGAGACAAAAGCCAAATAAGAATTAGTGAATACATAAATAAAAGAATACTCAAATTCCAGACCATTACAGAGTAAGAGTATAAAGCCATACAAATGAAAAGAAATTAGCAAAACTCTTTTGAAAAATCTTATTTAAAAAAATAAATTGTTAAAAACTGAGTTTCACATTGATCCCATGAACTGGATCAATGTTTATATATGGTTTTGATTTTATAGGACTACACTTAATAAACACATACTTAAAACTCATTAGCTCCCCCCCCAAATTTTGAAGATACTACCTAAGAGGAAATGAAAAATCTGAAGACTTATACAAAGCATAAAGATTAAATTAATAAAACACACACAAAAAAAATTCCCGTAAGCCCAAAATCAGATCACTGGTAAATTCCACCAAACATTTAAAAACAGAATTAAAACTAAAACTTGACAAACTTTTCAAATAACATAAGAACACTCTGCTTTGTGGGGTGGGGTGAGGAAGCTGAGAGAAGTTTTCACTACGTAGCTCTGGATGGCCTGGAACTCAAGAAATCCTCCTGCCTCTGCCTCCAGAGTGCTGGGATTAAAGGCAAGAGCACTCTTGTTAGTTCATTCTCTGAAACTAGGTACTTTGGTTCTAAGCCCAGACAAGTTCACTCTTAAGAAAATTACAGCTAATATCACTTAGAAATATAGATGTAAAGATAAAATACTAGCTAAGTAAACTAGAAATATATAGAAAGGATTGTACATAAATGTCAAATATAAATAAATTATCCCAAGAATGCACTATACGAAAGTCAATCAATATTATAGAACAGAACCCAAGGGCATTTGAAACAGATGCACAAGAAAGTGTTTGACAAAATCCAAAACATTTCATGTGAAAAAACAAAACACTCACAAACCCCTCTCCTCCTCCTAAAAGCATTAACAAAACTTAAAATACAAATTCCTTACCCAGTACAGCATTTCTCACATCTATAAAAATATGAAGTTAACACCATCCTTAATGGAAAGCACTCCATGTTAGAAGGGACCAAGGCAAACTGGCTTCCCCATTACTGTAAAACCAGCAGTGTTTCTAACCAGGCGATTAGATAAGAAAAAGAAACCCAGAGCATCCAGGAAAGGGGTTAAATGTGACTACTTCCTTTAAAATGATAAGTTCTTACATATGGAAATCCTAATACACAACAAACACATTTACAGAAGTAGTAAACTGAGGCAGGGACTCTTAGATGGCAAGTAAAGGCATGCCAGCAAGCCTGATGACCAGAGTTCAATCCCTGTACATATGTGGTGGGAGAGAATCAATTCTTTCCAGTTGTCTTCTGACCGCCACACATGCACATGCACATGCACATGCAATCACACACACACACACACACACACACACACACACACACACACACGCACACACAACCCCTAAAAATGAATATTTATATAAAAACCTCACAAAACATTAAAGAATGAATAAAGTCCTCAATAAATGGAAGGACATCCTGTGCTTAGGCCCTGAGTACAATCAAAACCTGTCCAAAAGCTACAGCAATCACAACTGTGTGGCACTAGTACAAATACAGAAATAGTTAAACTCCAGAAGTAAATCCATAGATTATCGGCCAGTGTTACAAGACTGTCAATAAAAGAAAGCTCTTCCCCCTAACAACTGGACAACTAGTCATATAAAACCGTGCTGGGTCAATTAAACATATATAAAATGTTAACACAAACTCCTGTTCTCAATAGATATCACATTCCTAAATTTTACCATTTTAGCTCATTTTGATATTTCTTTAAAAATAAACTAATACTGCAGCTATT